TATGATGACTGACGTGTACCCATGGAGCTGCCAGCATCCACTGGTCGTGGGTCGGAATACAGTATTTATACCTCAACTCTCAAAACCTAGAATTAGGAAATAAACGAGGTGGAGTTGTTTATCTACAATAAAACACTGCTGGGAGAATATTCTAAATATTCCATTTTCCTGCAGTGTTGTAATGTTCGATAAACACCGACCACGAGAGTTTTTTTTGTAATATCAGAAATCGACGTTATTTACAACCTCTTTAATGATGTAAATAAAATTTACAAAGTTAAAAAAAATACCCGAATTTAAATAATTCAAATGATAACTCCCTAAATACAATGCGAGCTCGGCAATGTCGGAAAAGTCCTGTTTATGAACAGGTAGGTTACACGTATCAGTATAATAGAGACGATGTGCCAAGTCGATAATTGGGGGACACGATCTGTACCTTTTCTCCCATTACACATTGCCATATCTCGACCACTTTCGAACGCCAACATTCTGCCATTGAGTTTTTCGGCGTTGTCCACCTATATCTATGGGGACAATCCACTACACTCTCAAAAATAGCATCGTCCGATTTACCACGTCAGTTGCTAGCAGATGTTCGAATCTCCAGATATGACGCCATGATAGAAAATGTTTTGTCGTGACAAAAACCACGTCTCGTTCTTCGTTATTCTTTGCCTTTTATCGTGTAGCTATCTTCTATGTCCATGTAAACCAATCACGGCGGTGGAAGAACACGTGCAGTGACATTCACATACATCAAATATATGCATGTATGTTTCAAGGTGACAGATAGATATTACTTCTTCAATGTGTTGAATAAGATCGCGATATATTTTGACAGTGGTTTTCATTCTTTCACTTTTGATGTATACAGATGATCACGTTTTACATATAAAGGCATTTAAAGTTGTGAGTTGCTTCACATATGAACATTCCTCGGGAATTACTGACGAACAGGTTCTTTAGTTTCTATACAAGTCAATCCGGCCCGTGAAGATCCGGGGTAGAATAGGTCTTCAGCAACCCTTGCTTACCGTCCAAAGCGACTGTGCTTGTCGTAGGAGGCTACTTGCAGGATCGGGTGGTTCGGCTCGCTGATCGGTTGATGAATGTCATCGTATCCCAATCGCGTGGATCGATGATCACGATGTCAATCACCAGATTGTCTGGTCCAAATTCGAATATGTACAGACCGCCGTCATATAACTGGAATATTGCCAAGTGCGGTGTTAAACAACAGACAAAAATGTTATTCCAACGACCTGTCTTTACCGGAAAGGTATGATTTACCGTCCTAAACTTTAATACTGGATGTAAGATATTTTTCGGCAAGATAAAACGTAGATCGTTTAAATGTACTATTTGTTTTTGAAGTGTTGATACAACACGTACACATTTTATTAGAGCTTACCCCTTCAAGTTTTGTATAAGTTGTTTCTTTTACAATTTATTCAATGATTCCGACAAACCATTGTCTATTGCATGGTTGTGTTGCGTTTAAAACCAGTGAAGCTCCTGGTGTGATGGCACCACGTCTGTGCTTGCGTAATTTATCCCTTTAGAAGCCTGCGTATTTCACGTTGGCGTTTACAACTAAATAATGTGACATCAAAGGCAGTGCTGAGGCCCAAATCACTCACCACTTTCTAAAGCTGTAACATGTCCATTCGCGGTGTTTCAATCTTAAACCAAGTTTTATTCCATATTCCCGGTGATACAAGTTCAACAGTTCCTTTATCATTAATGACAGAAGGAGTGGTTTTCATCTGTAAGCCGAACAGATATCTTCTTGTATTAGCTGCCTTAATTCTCGGGTCATCGAAAGCGATCAAACATGCAAGTAAAACACATAAAACGAAATTGATGACATTTCAAACAACAAATCCGCACTTAACTATTCCCAAATTGCGGAAAGTAAATACATTAACTGAGGCTATAAATTTATTTTCTGGCATACAAATCCATTCAATAACTTATGTATTTCGTTTTGACAACAAGGATTATTTGCAGTATTAATCAGGGCTGGCCTGTAATGAAACATAAATGAGTTACCGGAGATATAAACATGCTCTCTAACTCACATTGGCATGCATTTCAGCATTAATCGATTTCGCAGAAACGGTTGGTATCAAACTACAACAACTGCCTCTTCCGAGGCAGATGTTATTGTTAATCCCATCATGATTAATTGATCGATTCATTGTATTTCTGTTATCAACATCACGGACTCGACAATGTTCAAAACACGTGGACATAGTCGTCTAATCTATAACATTGAATGTTCTAGCGCCATAATGCCGTCCAACAGCAGAAGTCTCTATGTTATGTTAGTGTATCAGCAGCGTAGAAAAGCAATTATTTCAAACCCTTATGTAAACAAATACATTCGGGAACCTTTGATATCGTTCTGTTATCAATACTATAAAGTGGAATTGGTTACAATACTCGACTCCATAAGGTGAACGAATGTGAAACAGATTATCATAGAAAACATCTTCTTTGCTCTTTTATAACATTATCTGGCATTTCTGTTGGCTGCAATTTAATAACCCAGGTAATGTATCCTTTCATTTACAAAGTTATAATGGGACCGTTTGTAGTTGCATGAGTAGCAATGAGGTTGTGGAGTGAAATTTTCATTTATCATAAAGGTACGAGGGGTTTCTAATCCTATCATAAAAGTACGAAGGGTTTCTAATCCTAACTATGATGGACAGCTTTGTTGAAGTTGGTTACTAAATATTTTTCAATATTTTCACTGCGAAGTCAACACCCTACTGCCACTGGTACTGGATTCACTGGATCCCAATGTGTGGAAGGCTTCTTCGTGGTGGTATAATAAGTCATTTGCATGTTGGTCACACAGTTCTTTATTCAAGTTTAGGATAGGGTGGAAATCTGACGGTGCCAATTCTGGTGAATATAGAGGGTGTTCAATGAGTTCAAAGCCAGTCATGTATTGTATCCATGGTGACAACAGACATATATACAGGTGCATTGTCCTGGTGGAATAACACACCTTTAGTGACTTTCCACGGCGTTTAGGCTTGATATTCTCACGATGTTGCGGGAGCTCACGTAGATTAGTATTGAGCATTATTGCATTAATTATATATGACCGTTAGGTAGGAACTTTATCAGTCGGATTCCTTTGGAATCCCAGAAAACCGAAGCCATAACCTTGCCAGGTGATGGAACACATTTGACCTTCTTCGGAAGAGACGTTAGATCTGCTTCTAAACATCTAAATTGCCACGAGAGATGATAAACCTAACCAGGTTTGTCAGACAACCCACTGTATTGGGTATGTGACGTGTTGGCGAGTCGGTGGTCATCCATTCTCATATGTAATTAATCCACATTTTACATTAGAGGTGGCAGGTGGAGGTCTTCCTGATCTTGGATTCTCTCCCGAGCTCTCTCTCCCCTCACTTTAAAAATCCGTTTCCAACCACTTATCAGTGGTAATGGAAGGAGCATCCCCTAAAGTTAAAGCCATGTTAAAGTGGATGGGTGTTGGAATATCCCTTTCAGTTGGAGATACTTGATTACATCGCGGCAGCCATTTTGTCCATTTTCATCAACAGAGAATGCCTAGTCATTTTGGTGCCTGCAGAAATTTGCCGCCTGATTGTGTTTTTGGATCCAATGCAGCCTGCAAGCATGGAACGTCCCTGCAGACCGTTACGGGTGTTCTACACGTCAGTAGTTCGGCTCAGAACCTTTCAGTCGCTGAATGTGATAGTACCCTCCCAGAACACTTCCATGGACCGACTCGTCATACATGACGATCTCCCTGAAGCAACATCCACACGTGTACATATGTTCCAGGGATTACTGTTTGGATTAGTCGACCGGGCGAAGAAGGGAATGTATTCATACAGAGATCAAACTGTCTATTCCGCTGGCAACGTAGCTTCGAATACGTGCGACCCACTGTTTCTATTTAGAGATTTTAATGATCAGAATGACCAATGTCAACATATGCGAATTATTCGAGTTTAGATAATGACTAATACTTCAAAATTATATGGTTGTGCTATAATTACCACTTTTGAATGCTTGCCGTAAAAGGCGACTATGCTTGTCGTAAAAGGCGACTAACGGGATCGGGTGGTCAGGCTCGCTGACATGGTTGATGCATGTCATCGTATCTCAATTGTGTGGATCGATGCACATGATGTAAAGCACTGGATTGTCTGGTCCAGACTCGATTATTTACAGACCGCCGTCATATAGCTGTAATATTGCAGAGTGTGGCGTTAAACAACAAACAAACCAACCAAAACTTTTGAATGGTGAAGTACACTATTGTAAACACTATTAGAAGTATAATACGGCGGACTGCTAACATTTGACTTAGGTTGCTAAGTTTTGTTGTGAGCAATGCAACCTTATAGGATTCGAACCCACATCCTCAGAGTGAAGCACCTTATAGGATTCGAACCCACACTCTCAGAGAGAAGGTTCGAATCCCGGATGGGACACAACCCCCAAAAGTAATCGAGGTTGTACTATATACTAAGCAAGTTTTATCTCAAATATAACATTTGTCTGGAATCTATGGCTCTCATCTTCACTAGCACCTACTAACTTAAGATGATTATTGGAGAATCTACAAGGACTAAATATCTGCTACATTGTTGAATCAAATTCAGTGTTGTGTTATATCTTGTGCACTTTGCATCACATGACTGAAAGAAATAAAAAGGTCTGTCATTTCAATAACATCATGAACAATGTTTTAAAAACATGCCTCAACCCTTGAAAATTGGCAACTCTCTTGTCTTTTGTGATTACATGATCAAACCATCCATGTGGGTATAAGAATTATGGGTCAGTGATTAGACACAATGAGATCGTCCAAATCAAATGCTGATTCATTTCACTCCATTTGTGTTAATGTAATGCCATTGAGTGCTAGTTGTAAGTGCTTAAAATACCATGTTCAGACAATGAGTTAATGTGTGGTTCTAAAATAATGCCATTGTTCGCAGAGTACGCTGGCTGCAAGGATGACCCAGAGTCACGGAGAGAATTTCAGTTTGAAGATTGATTTCAGGTAAATGCCTAATATCTAAGTATCATACTCAGTAAAGTTTGATTCCATTTATCACATAACACTTCAAGATCTTAGAGGAAACGCTCGGAACAAAAAGATGTTTCACTGCCACGTATAAAATATTAATTGCACATTTATATCAATTAACTCAGATCTGATATCCTTCATAACTAAACATGCATCAACAAACTCCCTTTGTGCATATGTTTCTCATCTGTCCACATGTGGAACAATGTACTTCCTCGCAGATTAGGCCGATCCTTCTGCAATCCAATTTTGAAAGACTAATATGCGAAAAAGGTAATTACCACTATGCCATAAAGGAACTAATCGCGTATTACACGTGTAAGAACGACAGCTGGTATAATTAGACTTGACTGTGCGGCTTCGGATAAAGATATCAGTCAACGTGAAACAGTTATCGCCAGGTTCCTCCTTAACAGGAGATATTTACTGCGTTAGTGCTTCTTGTCTGACCCAGAGAGCATAGATCTTACTAAACTGTAAAGACTGCTGTATAGATTTTCATATCGGGACTATTTTAGGCACTCTTAAAATGTTCAACAGATATCCCTGTACATGCAGGTCCCCGCACCCCTCGCATGTACCAGGCACTCGGTGCTTCTATATGGGAAGCATACTTGGCGTACGTGTACGGCGCAGGCCAACTTTGGGAATCCAACGTTTGAATATCAATGAAACTATGCCCTTTTCATTTCGACGCTTTTACGGGGGATTCGTTTCAATATTAGAAAATATAATTACTGTTATCCTTTAAGCTTGTTACATTTGTAATTGTTCCAATAACCCATGTTACACCAATGCAATCTTGACACCGTTTAAGTTTTAACGAACATTAATGCAAATGTAAAAAAGACTTATGGTATGACTTATTTAAGTTATATATATATATATATATAACATTCAATTTTGATGAAAGGGGTTAGCTTATGCTACTCAAACCAACACGTGTCTGTAACTACAAAAATGATGATGATGATACCAACAACAACATCATCACAACAGCCACAAACCAACATTTGCGTGAGTGAATGCGTTGAGTTTCACGCCGCCTTTAACAGTATTACAGTTACATCGCGGCGTGTCAGCTTAATGTTGGAGGAAAGCCCGACGTGATGCAGGTCTAAGACGTTTACTACTTAGGTGCAACCCACGAGCACGGGCATGGTGCTGACAAACCTAGAAACATAATTGGGGCTAACAGGGATTCGAACGCACAATCATAGGTTTCTGGTGTGCCCAAGGGACTAAACTCTGCACAGCGAATCGCGGCGCCTGGACCACCCGTGCCCCAACCCCTAAAAACAACAATACTACTACTACTACTACTACTACTACTACTAATACTAATACTACTTCTAATACTATTATTATTATTATTATTATTACAGGATTTTATCATTTTACTGGAACACGTTTTATTTTAAATGTCAGTTGCAGACTGGAATCTGATGGTCCATTACCAAAGTTTCAGATAAATACACAGAACACACTTTCCCGCCGACAGGACTCGACAAAACTCCATCTGATTAATTGTACTCGCCTCATGTCTGGCCACTAGAACAACAGCTGGGGTTTATCTGGCGCGGTTGATGATAAATGCAACCGCAAAACATACTAGAACATCTTTCACGCCTTACAGTCATAAACGTTATATGTTTGTTTTTCTGGATAAAGTGCGAATTCGAGAATACAGTGTCCATATGATACGATTGATCTCGAAAAATGCTCTGAAGTAATCTCGTATTACGCCACCTATATACCTCCACACTGTCTCCTTACACTGAACACTGGCTGTATATCTCAATACAGAGTCATTGTTTGTAAGTCGCTAAAACTATGGTTGCTTCGTGTTACAAAGCAGAAATATAAACAAAAGAAGTATTGTTTCTGTTAAATACAGTCTATCTGATATATTGAAATAAGTGTTTTCGGACACACTCAATAGATTCTTGCGTTTTATAGACTCATGTAAGTCCACATCAGAGACATAGAACTAATCCCTATTTTCCTGAACCTATTTCGATGCATATGGCCTGGACGTATATCTCAGTTGCAATTCGATCATTAATAATACTAACAACCCGGTGAAGTGTCATATCAAATCAGCCCAGTTTTTAAACGAGAGGTTATCTGAACGACCACTGCATCGAGTTTATGTGCAGTGCGATGATAAGGTCAGCAACCCTGCAGAGTCCGTAGCTTGGATGAGGTCGGCTGGCCTGAAAAGTGAAACAGAAGGCTTTCTGTTAGCTGCTCAGGACCAGTCACTTTCCACTCGAAACCGGCAATGTGTGATTTTGCATCAAAATGTAAATATGAAATGTAGATTATGTAATGAATTTAATGAGACTGTCCAACACATTGTCAGTGGATGCCCAGCTTTGGCACAAACACAGCATCTATTATGCGACATGATTGTGTGGCTCGATCATTTTATTACTGTCTTCGCTATGCTTTTGGTTTTGACACAGACGCCCATCCATGGTACGACCCAGAATATGTAGAGGGCGTCATGGAAAATGATAAATACAAAATTCTTTGGAATAGGCCCGTTTACAGCCTTTTCTGTTCCTTTTGACACTAACGTGATTGACAAGATTCAGGAAAAACATGGCAAATATGCGGACCTCGCTTTCGAAATGTCATGCTTGCATCCCAAGTACCAAGTTGTCCGACACCCCATCGTCTCGGTGCCTTAGGTTTGGTACCTCCCATATGTTGACTGACATTGGGAGAGTAGCCGGGTTTGCTACCAGGAATAAAGCCCTTCTGACAATCTGGGTAATGGAGGTTGCAGTGTTGGGGATTCTTCACATTCTCCGAAAAGTTCTGGGTGGGTTTGACTAGGCAGCGCTTCCTGGGAGAAGTCCCATTCGCTTTCTGAGCTGCGTGTAGAGGGGGCAAGGGCCCTGAGCTGATGATGAGCCTAACCAGCCTAACTGTGCCAGGATTACCCAAACCCTAATTGCTGCCTTTTTTATTTTTATCTGTAAATCAATATCATCATAATAATGTCAACTCATATTGTGCTAGACTTTCAAAGCGCAAACATTATTACCCAGGGTCTATAGATCAGTGTTCACTCGATTTTTCATTCTCAGCTCCCTGTCAGACTAGAATATTAACAGTCACAATTTCATCGGATTCTGCCGGGTACCCAATTTTACTGCTAGGTTAACAGAGGCATACTTCGAACAAGGTCACTTGCTTAAGGAGACATACTTCGAGTGTTGGTAGGGAGAATCAAAGCCCTGGAAACTCTGGGAAGTCAAGTCAAGTCAAGTTTGTTCTCAAAAATCACATGTGATACAGAGAGGATATATATGTATATATATACCGAGACAGATACGTTCAGTGAGAATGCGTAGATAGTAATAATAATAGTATGTGAGATTTACACAGCATTAGTGAGCACATACAGATATTCAAATATATGAAGTATATTCGCAAGAGTATTTTTGAATATATCGATTTCTTTGGACATTCAAGTTTATATGATGTACTAACAGATTCTGTTTCCTCGATGTACACACTACCATCGACCAGTTTCTTTTGGGAGATGATGCTTACCTAATCCCTATCGAGATAACCATAATCTTATTTTTATAGGTGGTGATAGTAGGTATGGTTTAATGACATGTTACTGCTTCAACATAGCACAATGAAATCCTTTCGAAGAGGAGGCCATCTCTCGTCTCTAATCTTGATACTATTGATATAACGTTGTTATAACGTCACACTTCAACCGGAAATGCTCGTAAACGACTGAGGTAGCCAAGCATACTTTACCCCCCTGCTCTCCAGTGAAGTTTTAACACCAGTTAAAAGTTGTAATTACTGTTACATTGATGCATCTTGTATATAAATGCTTATACTGCATGCACCAGCTTATTTAGTGATAGTAAATTTTTACTCCAATGTAAACGCTGGCAATATATCAAATGAATTCTTTTTATCGTAACTGACGTTTCAAAGCCCCACACTTCAGAGGCATATAATAACATTGGTTGAAAAACTATCCAACTGTTGTCAGCGACCAACGCTACTTAACTTACTGTCGCCTGAACTATACTGGGCAACACCCCCGGTCTATAACATATATTTATCAAGTCAATATATACGCAATCTGAAAGACGTTTTAATCTTTCAAGTGCTTGTGAATCTCTTTTCGGTAACAAGTTGTTATCCTTTATTATATGTCAATGTCATGATTTAAAGAAGGTGTATTACCTGTAAGATTAGGTAGCCTAGAAGTAGGTAAAACTTGGTTCTATTCACATGGCAGGCGTTTTTAATTAGAGGACGAGGAAATGAATATCTCCCTTCGTTGATAAATAAGGCTGAATAGGAAAATGATAACATTCTCCTCCGATTCTACCAAACTGAATGTCCACCTGTTCTTGACAGCGCACACCAGTCTCACATAGCGCCACGTTACCTGTAGGCCAGACACATCCCCGGAAGGGCTCTGTTATGATATCCTGCCAGAATGTTTGGGAAAAGAAAACCGGGAATGCGGTACGTATATTCACCACGGCATACGGTTCACAACTTTAGCGCTATTGCTTATAAAAGCTCTGGTCTATATATTTTGCTATCGGCTTGTGTCGAGATATTTGTGCTAAAGGTTAAGCGTATCTATCCCAGCAAAGGAGACCCTTGAACATTATCTTTCTTACAAGCGAAAGGCAAAGACCGTAAGTTAATCTTGACTTTTCTCATTTGTTATAATAATTTATTGTCACGGGATTTATTCAAACTATGGCATGTAAATGTCATTTCACTGACCAGACAATCGTGTACATGTCTAACTATCAGGCGAAGAACTGAAGTTATCACATGGATTTATATCAGAGCTGCAGATACAAATACTGATCTTTTTCTATTCATTGAACCTTGGAAATATATGGTACATTTGCATGTATTAAGACTGGTCTTTATGTGATATGGATGTGTGTGTCAATTGGTGAGTGAGTAAGCGAGTGGGTACGGCTCGAAGCCGCTTCTAGCAATAACAAGCCATACATGTATATCGGCGACGTACATCAGAAATAGGCTTCACTATTTGTATTAATGTTGGGGCTCGAAACCAGGTCTGAAGGGAGAAGGCTACCAAACCGCTTTTTTATCAAATGATGTACATGGTAAGTGATATGAATGTATGTGTCAAGTAGGGCTCCTTTACATTCATATTTTGCAACATGCTGTATTCAGCTTGAATAATGATATTAATTTTGGCCTGTTTGACTAATGAAGCTTTTGACTGACAGTTTACAAATACAACGGACTGCGCCCGTTACATGCTACTCTTTTGTTATAGAGGCTAATATATGACATGCATTGTATTGTAAAAACACTAATATTGATATTTCTTTATTCATTTCGCACTGTAGGCCATCGGCCCATTGTACATTTAGATAGTCAAGAACACAATAGACATAAACGAGCTTCTGATATTCATGGCATGGAATAATATATAATGAGAGGTTTTTCATGGTTTCAACATGGCATGATGACAACAATATGTTACGTTTAAGTAATGTAGGATGGACATAATATTTTTCCGGCATATAGAGAATCTCACCCGAGTGTCTTTTGATATCAAATATATCAACACAAGTTGATAAAAGTGGGAAAACTCCGAGTCTTGCCGAGGTTTTTGATATATTTGATATCAAAAGACACAAAGGTGAGATTATATTTATCATCCAACATCATTCTTCCAACTTCTTCAGTTTGTAGAAAGTAATAAGCAGTGTCTTAAGTGTAAAAAGTAGCTGCAGCAGCAGAGCCATTAGTGATGTCATTTGATTGTGACGTCATGGTAACCAATGATGTCACAATGGTCTGCAAAGCATTTTGATGCAATTTCATTGCAGCGATATCTACAGTGTAGATATCGCTTGATCTCACCCAAGCGATATCTCCTGTGGGAGCCAGTTTTGGATGATAAATATTTGTTTCTAAGATTGTTATATGTTTCACAAATTAGCAGAAAATGGTATTCGTTTTCGATAAGACCAAAGGTACAGAGGTTACAAAGTCTTTGGTTTCTTGGGACATTATGATATCTACCCATTTCAATATGGAGTGTATGAGAACTACAACGATATCGGGAAAGCGCAGTACGACATTTATCAATATTGATATTTAGAAGATACGGTTCAACACAAATAATTATTAAAAGAATAGATATGCATTTTCGGACTACTAGCAATATCTGAATGCCGTTCTTGTTCATGTATATATTTTAATCGTGACACATATTCAATTACAAATGGTTTTGGATAAGAAACTGGTTGGTTTTCCCAAACATAGCCGAAACCAAATTTATATAAGGTATTTTTAACCTTGGATACTCAATTAATCTTGCCATTTACAGCTTCTGTATACAACATATTATAGCTCTTTCTTGGGTACTAATATAATATATTCTCCTGTATGTATTGTTCAATGATATTTCTTGAATGTGTACATATTACGACATCATTCATGACTATATATTACAATGCCTGTGGTAAATCATGGCTCACGCTTTCTGATAGCTACGGTAACTTCACATATGATGAAGACCAACAGTCGTGGTCCAGCAGAAAAATGTGACAGCATGAGGCGACGTCACGCATGTCTTCTCGTCATCTAGTCAGCTGGATCAGTCAGTATAAACATGGCCAAGGTCCACTGCAATGACTGACCTGGTCTTCCCAACGATAATATCAACACATTTGGACTGATATCAGTCACTATTACATCGTAACAGAATATGGTCGTCGCAATGAAGAGGGTCAAGTGTCATATTACCAAGGCATATTGTTGTAAGTAAATGAAAACAAAATTTAATGCATATGTAATTGTCTGGCAAAACATGGCTTTATAATTTGTATGTGGACGACAAACGTCCGCACATGGATGAATCATTCGGGTCAAATTGAATCCTAACAAGATTCATAGAATGATCATGTTCGATAGGCATCAACACTGTGCCATTATAAGACGTGTTCAATGGATTGAGGCGAAATTGTCTTTGAAAATATGGCAACTGTAATTATTAAGAGAGTGAACCGTGATTACGGTTATGCCACCTAAGAACGAACCGAAAAGGACTTCAGGTATCCATTTCAAAGCTGATGTGTTTCCTTGTGTGCTTGTATGTGTTATGCCAGATGCTTTTCTAGTATTCCGGCGTTCTGTTATTTGTATTTGTGAACCGGAAAGTGGTATATCTCAACGTTGGAGACACACTATTAAAAAGATGTCTTTATTCAGATTCGAGTAATTCTGGATAAATACTGATTCATGTATGTCAGAGTTGTGTTGTGTACTGCGAACATTTGCATCGACAAAAGTGAAATGTCTGAAATTAATAAAAACACTACATGTTTGTGGAAAATGTGCTGTATTACGTTGGAAATATCTGCCACGAGCATCCCCTGACACACAAACACACCCACACCCTCCCATGACACAGCTACACACCCAAACCCTCCCCTGACATCCCTACACACCCGAACCCTCCTCTCACATTCCTACACACCCACATCCTCCCCTGACACCCCTACACACCCACACACCCCCTAACACCCTTACACACCCACACACTCCTCTGACACTCATACACGGCCACATCCTCCCCTGACACCCCTACACACCCACACACCTCCTGACACCTCTACACACCAACACCCTCCCCTGGCACCCCTACAAATCCCCCCCCCTGACAGCCCTACACATCCACAACCTCCTCTGACACTCCTACATACCAACATCCACCTCTGACATCCCTACACACCCACACCCTCCCCTGACACCCCTACACACCCACAAACCCCCTGACACCCCTACACACCTACACCTTCCCCTGACACCTCTACACACCAGCACCCTCCCCTGACACCCCTACACACCAAAATCCTCCCATGACACTCCTACACACCCACACCCTCCCCTGACACCCCTACACACCAACACCCTCCTCTGACACCCCTACACACCAACACCCTCCTCTGACATCCCTACACACCAACACCTACCTCTGACACCCCTACACACCCACAAATCCCCTGACACCCCTACACACCCACATCCTCCTCTGACACCCCTACACACCAACACCCTCCCCTGACACCCCTACACACCAACACCTACCTCTGACACCCCTACACACCCACAAACCCCCTGACACCCCTACACACCAACACCCTCCTCTGACACCCCTACACACCTACACACCCACAAACCCCCTGATACCCCTACACACCCAAATTCTCCTATGACACTCCTACACACCCACACACTCCCCTGAGACCCCTACACACCCAAAAACAACCTGACACCCCTACACACCCACATCCTCCTCTGACACTCCTACACACCTACACCCTCCCCTGATACCCCTACACACCCACATCCTCCTCTGACACTCCTACACACCAACACCCTCCCCTGTCACCCCTACACACCAAAAAAAACCTGACACTCCTACACACCTACACCCTCCCCTGATACCCCTACACACCCACATCCTCCTCTGACACTCCTATACACCTACACCCTCCCCTGACACCTCTACACATCCACACTCTCCCCTGACACCTCTACACACCCACACCCTCCCCTGACACCCCTACACACCCACAAACCCCCTGACTACCCTCCACACCCAAATCCTCCTCAGACACTCCCTCACGCTCCCCTGACACCCCTACACAACCACACCCTCCCCTGACACCTCTACACACCCACATCCTCCCCTGACACCCCTACACACCAACAAACCCCTTGACACCCCTACACACCCAAATCCTCCCATGACACTACTACACACCAACACCCTCCCCTGACACCCCTACACACCTTTAAAAAAACCCTGACACCCCTACACACCCACATCCTCCTCTGACACTCCTACACACCTACACCCTCCCCTGACACCCCTACACGCCCCAAAAAAGCCTGACATCTCTACACACCCACATCCTCCTCTGACACTCCTACACACCAACACCCTCCCCTGACACCCCTACACACCAAAAAAAACCCTGACACCCCTACACACCCACATCCTCCTCTGACACTCCTACACACCTACACCCTCCCCTGACACCTCTACACATCCACACTCTCCCCTGAGACCTCTACACACCCACACCCTCCCCTGACACCTCCTACACACCCACACCCTCCCCTGACACCCCTACACACCCACAAACCCCCTGACTACCCTACACACCCAAATCCTCCTCAGACACTCCCTCACGCTCCCCTGACACCCCTACACACCCACATCCTCCTCTGACACTCCTAAACACCTACACCCTCCCCTGACACCCCTACACACCCACATCCTCCTCTGACGCTCCTACACACCAACACCCTCCCCTGACACCCCTACACACCAAAAAAAACCTGACACCCCTACACACCCACATCCTCCTCTGACACTCCTACACACCTACACCCTGCCCTGACACCTCTACACATCCACACTCTCCCCTGACACCTCTACACACCCACACCCT